AATTTCTCACTGACTATCACTGAAATTCTCCAAAGAATTGCTTTTGAGAGCAAAAATAAAATCTAATTTATAACTATTTGTGCCCTAATTTTGTTTTCGCTGTCATTAACCGTAATCGCAGAGAGAAAGCGCCAAATTAATTGAATTCTTATGAAATCAAATCATTTCTCACCGAAAGAGTTAGCCATTGAGAACCAATGGGCGCCTATCGTTAAGGCGATGTAAGCCTTATATCCCGACTCCGTTTCGTATATCTTCTCCAACCACTCGCGAGCGAAGTATATGAATAGATTGAGGACATGGATGGGGAGCCAACAAATGGCAAATAACAACACAATCGTTGACAACATTTTAATCACCTAAACAGTCAATCGCATACATGGATGAAAAAAATATTACATAATTAATTGAACATAATTAATGGGTTCACTGAAAAGTGGGCTCAAAAAATGATCAATTAATTCAAAGTGGTGGTAGTGTGTGAGTGTGTGAGTGAGTGTGTGGTGTATGGGTGCAAAATAAAGAGTAATAGTGCTCAACAGTAACCTTATTAACCTTAATTTTGGCGCTATTCTGGGCCTCGTCGCGCACCAGATCGGCGTTCCCGGGGATGGTGTGTCTCAACATCTTGAGGCCTACCGACCCGTAGGCGTACGTGAGCACCAGGATGGGCAACGCGAATGTGATGATGAATATGGCTAACGTGAACGTGCGGGCAGTATCCATACTCCAGGTCTCCTTACAGTCGTATAGGGTTTTGTTGGCGAACTGGAAGGGCTCGGCCACCGAGTTGTACCACGAGATCGAGCCCAGCCCTATAGCCAACGCCCATATTATGATGATTATAACGGTTCCGAAGGTTTTGGTTAGTCGTGCCGATGCCAGCGGATAGATTATAGCGATATATCTGTTCAATACATTAATTATGATGTAAATGAATATAAATTATCCAGTCAAGAAAGCTTATAAAATTGAAATTCACNGAGCCCAGCCCTATAGCCAACGCCCATATTATGATGATTATAACGGTTCCGAAGGTTTTGGTTAGTCGTGCCGATGCCAGCGGATAGATTATAGCGATATATCTGTTCAATACATTAATTATGATGTAAATGAATATAAATTATCCAGTCAAGAAAGCTTATAAAATTGAAATTCACTTCTGAACACTTAAATTATTACAAATGTTATTCTTTCATATTCTGACATCTAAAATGCCACTTAAATCAACTGTACAGTATACTGTAGTTCTTTACCTTGGTGTATTTTCGTTAAAAAAGGAATCAGTGTTCATATTGACTTATATACTGTACATCATAGACCTATACCTATTGTCAATATATTTACTTGAACCTATTTATTCTAAAAATATGATCAATTTTACAATACAAGTCCTCGATATACCCGAAAGAGTAAACTTTATTATTTTATTAAACAAAAAATATAAAATTCTGTTAACCAGTTATCCACTTATTGGAAAACTATCTGTCATTTTGTTACAAAAAAATATTTTTTAACCTACAGCTAAGAAAAGGATGTAACAAAAAAGTTTGAGCGACAAAATTGATTTTGTAAGTTTTTATATGTCTAACGTTAAAATAATAAGAATTTATTGCTTCAGGAATGTAAGGGTTTGTGCAAGAATTTAATATAAAAGTGAATTAGAATGTAAAGAATTTGTAGTTTAAATTATGATGTTTTTTACACAAAAAGGAAATAATATCTATAAATCATTTAATTCCTAAGATTTCTAATATTAACTTCTAGCATTTTGAGAAATCTTAATTAAGCAACTTTATTAAATTAAAATAAAAAATATCATTTAATTTACTTTTAATGTATTGTATAATTTAATCAAAAGTGAATATTGATTTATACACACTGAAAACATTTTCTATTGAAATAAACTTTTCTTTCGTTAGAAATTTTCTTATTTATAATACAATAAAGTTTATTTTATAAAATAGTCTTTAAGTTATAATATGATTTAATTCCGATTTTAA